CAAGAGGAGAATAGAGCTGAACAGCTCAGTAATAGCAAACATAACAATTCTAACTAACATCCTTGGGCAGGGGGAATACCTAATAATTGATCTGGTGGGTTTTGTAATGTACATCAAAACCAGGAAGCCTACCAAATAGTCGGTTGGATGACTGAAGTGCTGAAGTAGCATTCAAAGAAGACAAGGCTTAGTGGATAAGCTAAATGAATATTTTGCATGCATCTCAACTGAAGAGGATAGGGGAGAGATACCCAAGTCACTCTTTCAGATGATAAATTTGAGGAACTGTCCCAGGTTGTCGTCTCAATAGAGAAAGTTTTAAAAATAAACTGAACAGTAATAAATCACTAGGCCCAATGACATTCATCCAAGAGTTCCAAAGACATACAGGTTGAACCTTGTAAATCTGGGATTCCCTGGTCCGGCAACATCCGTGGTCCGGCAGGATCATGGATGTTTCTGGACCAGAGAGCCCCAGGTGCCAGAGTGTGCGAGCCAGTCAGAAGGCTAGGGGCAGCTCCCAGTGCCCCTCCCCCACCTGGAGGAGAGTGGAGGCTGAGCAGCTCCCAGCCCCCCCATAAGATCCTCAATCCCTAATTGTGCATCTAACACGAGGTGGGCAAGAGGCTGCCAGTAGGCCAGATGCAGCCTGACAAGCCATCAGATCCAGCCAGTGTACGCCTTGCTAGGACCCTTAGGCAGAGAGAATTTCACGCTTTAAACAGCCAGCTGCTCTCCACTCTGGATTGCTGGGGGAAGGAGCAGGGAGACTTTGCACACTTCTCTGCCTCCCTCCCCCCAGCAAAATCTCTCAGCTCCCATTGGCCAGTTTCACCTGCCTCAGGTTCCTGCATAGCTGCTGGCTCGGAGCCGCCTAGGTAAGCACCTACCAGCCAGAGCCTGCCTCTGGCATCCCAACTACCTGTCCCAGGCTGCTATCCAAATCCCTATACTCCTTTCCCTCCTTCTCCCAGGTCACAACTCCTTCCCAGACCCTGCACCCCCTCCTTCACCTCTCCCTCAGGCCAGAATCCTCTCTTACATCTATACCCCCTTTCTGATCCTGCACTTCATTCCCCTGTCCCAGGACACCACCCAAACCCTCTGCACCTCCTTCTTCAAGGTCACAATTCCCTCCCACACTCTGCATCCCCTGCTAGAGCCCCTCCTCCTGACTAGAATCCTCTCCTGCACCCTGTACCTCTGCCCCATATCACAACCCCTTCTTTCACCCAAACTCCCTCTCAGACCCCATGCCCTCTCTTGCACCCCAGTCTCCTACCCCATCTGCACCCAACCTCCATCCCAGACCCTGTACCCCCTCCACAAAAGTGCAGATTGTGGAGTGGCTCCCCATTAAAAATGATAGCCCATCCCTGTTCAAATACAAGGAAGAAATAAGCATAATTACGCATGGTTCTTTGTATATCTCTGTAGCAAGCTTAAGTTTACAAATAATTTATTTCATGAAATGTGTCTTTCAAATTGTACATGCATCTAGACTCTGGCAGATACATTATGTACATTGAAAGAGCCTTCTTAAAAGCATATTTAAAAAAAACCTTTTAAAATCACACCTCAAGCTGCCATATTCAGAATGGTATGACTTAACCCACATTCTCATTAGATGAAACTATGCATTGTAATGCAAAAGAAATATAAATGAATAGAATAGTTAGTTAAGATAACTGGCCATGTATTTTATACCTTTAGCAAATAACATAAAACTGGTTTAATAAAAAAGAACAAAACAGCAAGCTTTGAAGGGAAGGAAGACAAAGCTTTAGAAACTGCAAGGTCACTGCAGTGGCAGTTGCACATAGTAGTAATTCTAAAAACTGTAAGTCAGCACTTAGTACAACAGACTGGATGCGTTCCAGCCAAGCAAGTCAGGCATCAAATGAGTGCACTGTGAAATAGATAAGCAGACCACTATCTCACCAATAAAAATAGACAGTGCAAATTCTTATTCTGGAAACAATGAACTGATTAAAGCTAAAAACATACAAGAAGCCAGTATCACACACTAAAAGAACTAGTCTTTGAAACATTTGCAAGTAAACTATGAACTTTACATTCTTACACAGGAGTAATGTATAATTAGCAAACATTTTAAAGCCTTTTGAATAATATAAACAGAAAATGTATAAACATCAGTTATAGTAAGCACAAAGGCTACTAGTCAAATCCATATTGACTAATTCCAAATAATAAACATAAAAACAATATGAACTACTTTTATACCTGAAACTGCTTTTTAAAAATAACTTTACTAGAAAAGTAGCATATAAGACACATTGCTTTTAAGAAATCCACAACAGGATGATGGCCAACTAGCGAATCTTCCCCATTCTTAAAAGCTCGGCTTTCAAAAACAAACAATGAATGTATCAGTGAAATGTTCTGCAGTTTTGTGGGATTTTTTTAATCTGAAGATTAAATTTTTGCCAAATAAAGTGTGCAAAAATGCAATTTGTTAATTTCATAGTTAGACACACATAAAATTGGACATTGGTAATACTTTAGATTGCCAAAGACTACTAATTATTCTGGTTGATTTCTGCCTTCAGGACAATTCTTGAATCCGTATGTATTTGGTGAACCTGTTGGAGAGTGTTGGTATTTGCGACATACCCTGCAGGTGTGTTAATTTGGTAGCTTTTCCTAGCTGTCTAGTAGACCATATGGGTTTAATTTCCACTTGAGACAACAAATGTCTAATCATTAATGTTTATGCAACAGATAAATACCTGCCAATTTTTTTAAGACAGTCATATCCAGGATGCATCCTTTTTAAAAGCAAACTATGAACATTATGTCCCATAGCAATGGAGACTGGAAACTTAGGAAAGGAAAAAAATTATAGATTCACAGCTTTTGAGGCCATTTCAAGCGACTATTATGACAATCTAGTCTGACTTCCTGTGCAGCACAGAACTTTCCTAAAATTATTGTTAGAATATTTTTTTTTTAAAAATCCAACCTTAGCTTAAAAGTCATCAGTGATAGGGAATAAACCAAGAGCCTAAGTGAACTTAACCAATGATTAACCAGTTAAAAATTTGCCACTTATTTCCAGTTTGAATTTGTCTAGCTTCAACTTCCAGACATTGAATCATGTTAATACATTTCCTTTGCTGGACTGAAGAACCCATTATTAAATATTTGTTCTCCATGCAGACACTTTCAGACTGTAAACAACTCATCCCTTAATATTCTCTGTTAAGTGGAAGAGATAGAGCTCTTTGAGTCTATCACTAAATCAGACTTTCTAAGCCTTTCATCTTTCTTGTTTCTGAACCCTCTCCAATTATCAGCATCTTTGTGGATACCAGAACTGGACATAGTAGTCAAGCACTAAGTTGTAAGTTTGTCAAACAGACTCTGTTCACGCACCCCAAGACTGCATTCGCTTGTTTGGCCACAGAATCACACTACAGCTAGAATTTAGTTGATAATCCATCACCACCTGCAAATCTTTTTCAGAGTTACTTTTTCCCAGGATAGAAACCTCCATTACGTAAACACCACCTATATGCTTTGTTCCTACATGCACGTACAGTAAAAGATTTGTTAGCTGGCATTTGAATATCTGGAAAACTCAATTAACTGGCTTTGCCCCCAGACACCATACCCCCTGACTTCGAGCACGTGAGCCCCACTCCCACTTGTCCAACCAGCTGGCTTGATGCCTCTGGCCATTGCAGTGCTTATGACAGCTGGCACCGCTGGCTGCCGTCATCCTTAGCTGCCTCCTCCCCCGACAGCCTGCCTCAAGCTGTTGGGAGCTGACTCTGCTGAAAGCCTCCCAAGAAGTTGGCTCACTCATCTGACAGCTGCATAGGATGGCTCTGAGAGTAAGGGATGGCAGGTATGCCCAAAGGTGCAGGGATTCATCACTGCGTTTTCCTCTGGGTAGGGGACAGGGCAGAGCAATAAGCTTGAGTATCCAGCACATTTGATTAACCAACAACCCCCATTCCTCATGAGTGCTGGATAACAAAACTTTTACTGTTATTTATATTAAAACACGTTTCCTTGTTCCCAGTTTACCATGTGCTCAGACAGCTTGCTCTGAATCAGTAACCCATCCTCTTACACTATACACCATCTCCCAATTTTTGTGTCATTTGTAAGTGTTATCAGTGATTTTGTTTTCTTCCAGATAATGGATAAAGATACTCTAAGACACTCCAATGGAAACACATACAATCAATGATTTCCATTTACTATTACATTTTGAGATCAATTAGCAAGCCAGTTTTTAATGCATTTAATGTGTGTGTTGGTATATAGTTTTAGTTTATTACTCAAAATATCATGCAATTCCAAGTCAAATTCTAGTATATCAGCATTATTACCTCTATCAACCAAACTTGTAATCTTATCCAAAGAGGTATCCAGATAGTTTGACAGGATGTATTTTCCATAAAACCCATGCTGATTGACATTAATTATATTACCCACCTTTAATTCCTTATTAATCAAACTCTGTATCAGCAGCTCCATTATGTTTCCAGGGATTAATATCAGGCTGAGAAGCCTATAGTTACCCAGGTCATCCTGTTACCCTTTTAAAATGTTTGCACAACACTAGCTTGCCTCAAGTCCTCTCTAACTTATGCAGTGCTCCAAGACTTTTTGAAAATCAACAGTAAAGATTCAGCAAAATCCTTACCCAGCTATTTTAAAATAATTGGATGCAAGTTATCTGGATCCGCTGATTTAAAAAAATGTCTAACTCTAGTAGCTTCTAGTGAACTGGAAAGAACATTATCAAATTATGTGACTATCATCAGTTTCCCCCAAAATCCTCTTATTTCAGAGCTGATGCTGATTAGGAACTTAGAGGATGGTTAATATTGTGACCAATGCTGGCATTTTGGAATAAAAGTATATGGATGTCACCATGTGTATTTCATGAAAACAAAGTTTATACTTCATGAATCTTCATTACAACCCCCAATAAGGAAAATCAAATTACATTACAACTCCCTTACCTTCATAATATTCACTAAATCTGTCTGATAGTAACGATCCTGGTGTGCATTAGCAGCTGCTAACGTGAGAAGGTAGTCATTCCTTGCATGGGTAGCCTTTGAATTACACTCGGACCGTCGTGCTTTTAACTATATTTTTAAAAAAGAAATTAAAATGCAAGGCAGCTGATTTTGTACTTTTATACTATGAGCAAAGCATTAAAATATATAGGCTTTTAGATGGACTTGTTGATGCAGTTTTGAAAAATATTTATATTATTTGTACATATACATTTAATTATAATTCTCATTAGGCAAAAATTCTAGCACAAATTTGTGAATGACTGAACAGATTCATCATGTGCTTACATTTTATTCTGGAAAGACATTCTGCACCAACTGGTTAGTTGTTTTAAAGACAATATGCCTGATAAAATATAAGACCTCTATAGATTCAAGGCATTAATTGACATATTGCTTTATTGTCGTTTTTCTGGGTAGATCAATTATTCTTAAACTCACCTTTACACTTGCTTTCTGTAAACTTATCCTTGATTGAAAGAGACTAAGCTTTGACCTGTAATAAAAATCAATAGAATAGATTAATATCAGAAGCTCTCTCTGGGACACACAGCTATACGAACAAGCTTTCTTTTAAAAATTTGGATTAAATAAATATAATAAAATAATTCAACAGCATTTTTAAGTTTTTTTTTTAAATTTAAGAGTACAAATTAGGGGTTCTAGGAAGAGATTATGTACATTGAACAAGCTCGTTTGGATAAACAGTGACAAGTCACCTGGACCAGATGGCATTCATCCAAGAGTTCTGAAAGAACTCAAACGGGAAATTGTGGAACTATTAACTGTGGTTTGTAACCTATCCTTTAAATCAGCTTCCGTACCTCATGACTGGAAGATAGCTAATGTGACGCCAATATTTAAAAAGGGCTGTAGAGGTTATCCTGGCAATTACAACTGGTAAGTCTAGTGTCAGAACCGGGCAAATTAGTTGAAACTATAGTAAAGAATAAAATTGTCAGACACACGGATGAATATAATTTGTTGGGGGAAGTCAATGTGGTTTCTGTAAAGGGAAATCATGCCTTACTAACCTGCTAGAGTTCTTTGAGGAGGTCAAATAAACATGTGGACAAGGGGGATACAGTGGATATAGAATACTTAGATTTCTAGAAAGCCTTTGACAAGGTCCCTCAACAAAGGCTTTTAAGTAAAGTAAGTTGTCATGGGATAAGAGGGAAGGACCTTTCATGGATTGATAACTGGTTAAAAGACAGGAAACAAAGGGTGGAGTTCCCCAAGGGTTTGTCCTGGGACCCATCCTATTCAACTTATTTATAAATGATCTAGAGAAAGGGGTAAACAGTGAGGTGGCAAAATTTGCAGATACCACCAAACTGCTCAAGATAGTTAAGACCAAAGCAGACTGTGAAGAACTTCAGAAAGATCTCACCAAACTAAGTGATTGGGCAACAAAATGGCAAATGAAATTTAATATTGATAAATATAAAGTAATGCACATTGAAAAAAATAATCCCAGCTATATATATAATATGATGGGGACTAATTTGGCTACAACTACTCAAGAGAAAGATCTTGGAGTCATTGTGGATAGTTCTCTGAACAACTCCACTCAGTGTGCAGTGGCAGTCAAAAAAGCAAATAGAATCTTTGGAATCATTAAAAAATGGACAGAGAAAAAGACAGAAAATATCTTATTGCCGCTATATAAAACCATAGTACCCCCACATCTTGAATACTGAATATAGATGTGGTCGCCTCATGCATTGGAAAAGGCTCAGAAAAGGGCAATAAAAAGGATTAGCAGTTTGGAACAGGTCCCATATGAAGAGAGATTAAAAAGACTTTGACTTTTCTGCTGAGAAAAGCAGAGACTAAGAGGGGATATGACAGAGGTCTAATAAAATCATGACTGGTGTAGAAAAAGTGAATAAGGAAAAGTTATTTACTTATTCCCACAATAAAAGAACTAGGGGTCACCAAATTAAATTAACAGGCAGCAGGTTTAAAACAAACAAAAGGGAGATTTTCTTCACACAGCACAGAGTCAACTTGTGGAACTCCTTGCCAGCGGCTGTGGTGAAGTCTAGAACTTTAACAGGATTCAAAAAAGAGCTAGATAGATTCATGGAAGTTAGGTCCATCAATGCTATTAGCCAGGAGTGGTAGGAATGGTATCCCTAGCCTCTTTCTCTGGAGGTGGGTGACAGGGGAGGGATCACATGAGGATTACCTTTTGTGATCCCTCCCTCTGGGGCATCTGGTATTGGCCATTGTCGGCAGACAGGATACTAGGCTAGATGGACCTTTGGTCTGACCCAGTATGCCCATTCTTATGTTCTTATAATCAACTATCTTCACTGAATATTCTGATATGTTTTGTTCAGTCTTACACTAATTAATTTTCAAACAATGATTAAATACAACACACCAGAAAGCTCTCGTGACAAAAACTCAGGAAGTTCTTTTGTTGTCTGTTACTTAATGGCTATTTGAAAGCCTTACATTTGCAACCAGACTTGCAAACTTAAGCTATCTATCTTGCATCACTGCCTCATTAGAAAAATACCACCAATCAACTCAGGTAAGGCTGAATGAATTTTTTTTTGAAGGCAAGCTTAACCCTAATTTTGAAAGTTTGAATCAGAGGATAGGAATCAGCATGTTTGTGTATTTTTTTCAGTTTAATCATTTAAAAAAAGCTAGAGGCTATATAAGCATCTTGAGAACACTGAACTCATTCACAATGAGTTATGAAAGAAAATTTAACTAAAATGATGAACACTTGAATTCTCCAACATTATTGAGTTTATACCATACGGGCAAAATAGACTATAAAACAAACAATATGAGCAATTGCTTTAAATCAGAGCTTTCTGAAACATATTAACCCTGAAGAGATCAAAACAATCAATGTTTTCATAAATAAAACATTATCTAATAACTGTAAATTTCACCTTGTGGTTTACATCACTTAAGAGAAACAAGTATCCATAAATATCATCCAAGAAGATGACATCTGACACTGAGTAAAATCTTAAAAAACAACAAATAGTCTAGTAGCACTTTAAAGACTAAAAAACCATGTAGATGGTATCATGAGCTTTTGTGGGGAAAAACCCACTTCTGAAGTGGGATTTGCCCACGAAAGTTCATGATGCCATCTACATGGTTTTTTTAGTCTTTAAAGTGCTAGTAGACTATTTGTTGTTTTTTAAGTTTTTCCTGTTACAGACTAACTGGGCTACCCCTCTGAAACGGAGTAAAATAACAGCCTTAAAGAACAGTTATATACAAAGAGAACATCAAAAACTGTGTTTTGGTAGAACTAAAGCATCCATCCATGTAAAAATTATTCCTTAGTAAAATAACTTTATTCAATTTTTTTAAAAAGCCTTCTAAAATTTCATAAGTAAAACTGATAAAAACACTGACTTTCGCTATACTTGATCATGATGCCATGAAGTGGCAAGAGAAGGAAAGCTCTACAAAGCTGGGACTGCTACTGAAGGAGCAGATAATTGGCCTTTAGGATCCAGGGAGATCTGAGGAAGACCTGACCATTCAATATGAATCCCCTCTGATTCCACAGCAATTCCAGGGTCTCTGGAGCTCCCTTCCAGCTCTCTGGCAGAATGGCTCTAAGATGACTTACTCCACCTACCACTATCTCTGGAATCTCCCTCAAAGGGAATTCTGCATTAAATTAAGATAAGTCTCAGGTCTTCACTTTTGTTTTTAAAGATGCCATGTATGCAACTTTTCCATTCTTGGAGAACAAATTTGAGGGATGTTTCAAAATAGAAATATTGCAACAAACAGTGAAAAAATACAGGCCAAAGCCCAAAATGGAAACATGCAAGTTGTATGTTTTAGTGAAAGAAAGAGGTAAGATTACCTCCACAGGACAGAAGCATTAAAAAGCTATAACCTCCAAGATATAACTTCAGAAAAGCAAAACAAACACTCCCCAAACAATTCTCAACTCTGAAGCAAAATGCATGCTTGAAACAATCAATAGGATGTATGAAAGCAAAGTAAGGAAAACCTCAACACAAGCTTTATTGAGAAGTAGAATCCTGCTCTTACAACATAACTGAGTGCAATGATTAATAGAAATATGATGTTTACACACACAATTATTTATAGAGTTGCTATAATAAGAACATACTTGGCCTCAATATCAGCTTTTTCCCGCACTGCATGAGCCATCTGTTCAGTTTCAAAGTACTTCTTCTTGCTCTTAGCTAAATCTTTTACAGTCTCTTGTAATTCAGCCTGGATCTTTGTCAACTGGTCTACACACTACAAAACAGAATGCACAGAATGCAACAAACAAGATTATAATAGAATTAACATCATTTTACTGTTATTTTTCAATAAATCTTGCACAGATCCATATGCTCAATAAGTCCCTTTAGGCTAACTACAAATTCTGTCCACCTTTTAAAATGATTCAAAACAAAGAAGTAACATCTTTTTATCTTAACTGCTTTTAAAGAACAACCATTAAATTCACAATTTTTTAAAATTTGCAGAGTTTAATAAAAAATGACTTTACATATCTCACCCACCTGGTCTCTCTGTTTAAAATGTTCTCTTTACAAGATCTGAAAGCACTTACTAAGGAAATTAGCTGCAATAACCCAGATGTAGTATGGGAATGCCAAAGGCACTTTAGCCAAAAGAGAAATTAGAAAATGACTTAGGGTATGTCTACACTACCACCCAAGTTCGAACTAGGGTGGTAATGTAGGCAACCTGAGTTGCAAATGAAGCCCGGGATTTGATTTCCCGGGCTTCATTTGCATAAAACCGGGCGCCGCCATTTTTAAATGTCCGCTAGTGCGGACTCCGTGCCGCGCGGCTACACGTGGCACGGACTAGGTAGTTCCGACTAGGCTTCCTAGTCCGAACTACCGTTACTCCTCATTTCACAAGGAGTAACGGTAGTTCAGACTAGGAAGCCTAGTCCGAACTACCTAGTCCGTGCCACGTGTAGCCGCGCAGCACGGAGTCCGCACTAGCGGACATTTAAAAATGGCGGCGCCCGGCTTTATGCAAATGAAGCCCGGGAAATTCAAATCCCGGGTTTCATTTGCAACTCCGGTTGCCTACATTACCACCCTAGTTCGAACTAGGGTGGTAGTGTAGACATACCCCTAGAGACTATTGACTTCAAATAAGCGTAACTCCGCTTGTACTTCTGTAGCTTAAGAGATCATAGAAAGGATGCTATCATTTCTAACATTGAGGATAAGCACCAAAAAGTTAGCACTAACAACTGTAAATTAATGCAACTATTATATTCCATTTTAGTTTTTAAGAAATCACAGACATTTCATACTCCTACTATATAGTCTTCCTCCCAGCTCAACCAATGATTTATTTAAAACCATGCACTGCAGCACCGAAAATATTATCTGACGGATGCAAATAGTTTACTGGACAGAACATAGTGAAAGAACTTGTTTTCAAAAAGTTAGCAGTAGGCTATTATACTAGTAGAACACTTGCAAAAATTGAGAATCTCATTTCTTTTCCTCCAAAACTGAAAGCCAAGAAAAAAATATATACTCTCTCTGAATCTAAGAAAGAAATACAACTGATAATTCTGCCCTGGTCCAGCAGCCTTTGAACTGGAGTCGTCCCGAACAAGGGAATTTGCCAAACCAGGAGGTCAGGCATCTGGGCTCTCCTGTAGCTCACTTGCCTCAAATCTTGAAAAGTTACAGCATGGAATGTCAGATCATTTTAGCTAACACTGCAACTCTGGCATCTTTGAGGCCAGGTCTTTACTACGCCAGAAATTAGACTTAAGATATGCAAATTGAACTATGAGAATTGCGAAGCTGGAGTCAACATATCTTAAACTAAATTTCTGAGTAGCCCTACTGTGGGAGGTGGAGAAAGAAACTCTCCCATTGATTTCCTTTACCTCTCATGACTCTGAGGAGTACTGGGGTCAACAGGAGCACCCGAGCATTCAGTTTAGCAGGTCCTTACTAGATGTGCTAAATTGAACCCTGGAAAATCAATCTTCTTGGAAGTATAGACAAGGACTAAGATAGAAAGGCTCTGGAATACTCCAAATTAAACATGACAAAGGCTATACAAACAAACTTCGGGAAACAACGTAAATAAAGAACTTGAGTGTAATCCTTCTCTAAATTACTAAATGGCATCATTATTGTTAAATGGCATAATATAGAATTCTGAACCACAGATAGATTTTTTGGACAGCTGCAACGTGTTCAAACAGCACTCCCTTTACTTTACTTCCTAACTGCCCTGCGCTGAGCCTATCTTACATGAAGTGCATATCACAGCTGCATTTTTGCTAACTTCTAGATACAAACTGCTCAATCCAATACAGATATTTACATTTTGTACTCCCTCTTGAAAACTTCATTTTAAGGCAATCCTCAAATGACAACTACTTTCACCCTGCAGGACACTAAGATCCATAATTAGTTTCTCATCATAACACACAGTTCATTAGAACATGAAAAAAAATATTTAGCCTTATATGAACAAAAGTCCTGCATGTCAAAACAGACATTTTAGAAAAATTATAAAAGCAGTCTCCATGTAATGTTTTATTCAAAATATAATGAAAACTGAACTCTTCTGACTGCACATCTTAAGATATAAATCATTTTAAAATGAACAGCTGAAAGCCAGTGCATTGCATGGGTTACAACTGGGGGAATTCTGTGTCACTGCATGTGTGCAGATTTCATAACCTCATCCCCACCTTCAGACCACTCCTGTAACCAACTTCCCCAACCACACTTCGCTCCTGCACCCTACTTCCCAGCCAGACCTTGCACCTCCCATCCGCTCCTGCAACCATTTTGTCATCATGGGTAGTTGGCTGATAGTCTTCAGAAAGGTCTGACTTGAGTGGGATGAGCCACAGGCTAAAAAGTTTGAGAACCAGTGCTTTAGAGACTGCATGTGCAATTCCCTCAGGTTTAAAACGTGCTGCAACTCAGTCTATTTTAGGGATGTGAGTAACTGACTACCCGATAAGCCTAAGTATACTTGGTAGTCGAGTGGAGTACTCGACTACCCGCTTCCCCCATCCCCGCCTCTGTATGAGAAGTGGTGGGGGCGGGGGTGAACAGGAGCCGACTACCTGATAAACCTAAGTTTACCAGGCAGTCGAGTGGAGTATTCAACTACTTGCCCTCCCACCCCACTGCCTCTGTATACAGAAGCAACAAGGAGGGCAGGGACATAGGCGCTGGTGCTAGGGGGAGCCAGCTTATAAACTGATTCCCCCCCAGCACTATCTCCACAGTGCATCCTCCCGCCCCCACCCCCACCTCTGTTAGAGGTAGGGGATGGGGTAAGGGAGGCTGCTGCAAATCAACCTCTGACTGCAGCAGGCCAAGGCTTGCTGTGGGCAGAGACTGCTGCCAGCAGCCCTGGTACATGGTGGTCCCAGTGGTGAGCCTCTCCTCCACTCCCCATGGACAGGGGCTGCCACTGCCACTCCCTTTACTTTACTTCCTAACTGCCCTGCGCTGAGCCTATCTTACATGAAGTGCATATCACAGCTGCATTTTTGCTAACTTCTAGATACAAACTGCTCAATCCAATACAGATATTTACATTTTGTACTCCCTCTTGAAAACTTCATTTTAAGGCAATCCTCAAATGACAACTACTTTCACCCTGCAGGACACTAAGATCCATAATTAGTTTCTCATCATAACACACAGTTCATTAGAACATGAAAAAAAATATTTAGCCTTATATGAACAAAAGTCCTGCATGTCAAAACAGACATTTTAGAAAAATTATAAAAGCAGTCTCCATGTAATGTTTTATTCAAAATATAATGAAAACTGAACTCTTCTGACTGCACATCTTAAGATATAAATCATTTTAAAATGAACAGCTGAAAGCCAGTGCATTGCATGGGTTACAACTGGGGGAATTCTGTGTCACTGCATGTGTGCAGATTTCATAACCTCATCCCCACCTTCAGACCACTCCTGTAACCAACTTCCCCAACCACACTTCGCTCCTGCACCCTACTTCCCAGCCAGACCTTGCACCTCCCATCCGCTCCTGCAACCATTTTGTCATCATGGGTAGTTGGCTGATAGTCTTCAGAAAGGTCTGACTTGAGTGGGATGAGCCACAGGCTAAAAAGTTTGAGAACCAGTGCTTTAGAGACTGCATGTGCAATTCCCTCAGGTTTAAAACGTGCTGCAACTCAGTCTATTTTAGGGATGTGAGTAACTGACTACCCGATAAGCCTAAGTATACTTGGTAGTCGAGTGGAGTACTCGACTACCCGCTTCCCCCATCCCCGCCTCTGTATGAGAAGTGGTGGGGGCGGGGGTGAACAGGAGCCGACTACCTGATAAACCTAAGTTTACCAGGCAGTCGAGTGGAGTATTCAACTACTTGCCCTCCCACCCCACTGCCTCTGTATACAGAAGCAACAAGGAGGGCAGGGACATAGGCGCTGGTGCTAGGGGGAGCCAGCTTATAAACTGATTCCCCCCCAGCACTATCTCCACAGTGCATCCTCCCGCCCCCACCCCCACCTCTGTTAGAGGTAGGGGATGGGGTAAGGGAGGCTGCTGCAAATCAACCTCTGACTGCAGCAGGCCAAGGCTTGCTGTGGGCAGAGACTGCTGCCAGCAGCCCTGGTACATGGTGGTCCCAGTGGTGAGCCTCTCCTCCACTCCCCATGGACAGGGGCTGCCACTATCTCCACAGTGCATCCTCCCGCCCCCACCCCCACCTCTGTTAGAGGTAGGGGATGGGGTAAGGGAGGCTGCTGCAAATCAACCTCTGACTGCAGCAGGCCAAGGCTTGCTGTGGGCAGAGACTGCTGCCAGCAGCCCTGGTACATGGTGGTCCCAGTGGTGAGCCTCTCCTCCACTCCCCATGGACAGGGGCTGCCACTGCCAGCCAGCCACCATGTACAGGGGATGCTGCTGGAGCAACCTCTGTTAGTTTACTTTAAAATGCAGAGGCATGGTGGTCCCGGAGCGAGCCTCCCCTTATTGACTAATCATTTAGTCAATACAAATTGTATCAAATACATGATTAGCAACATACCAGTTCCTTAACATCCTTATCTATTCCATTGAAATATCATTTGGAAAAGGTCAACATCACTTCCAAAACAGGCTACTTTTTCTATATTTGAGTCACTATCGAATCAATTCAATCTGATTGCCAAAGCATGAAATTAGATTTGCAAAGTCTCCTTAATGGACCTTCAAGTCAATTTGAACATCTTCATTCTGGAATATTTAGCCCACTATTATGAATAACTGGTCCAACACAAACTAGCTGCTTAACTACTACAAAGGAATACATCTGAACAAGCAAAACAAATATGCAGATTCTTTAGAAATATTTCTACTGCTCTACAACTCTAAATGAAAAATTATAAAAAAAAGAGAGACAGAGAGAGAGAGAAAGAAAATACCTTTTTTAACTGCTGTTCTTTAAAGCATCTAACTGTCCTGGCTGGTTCAGAAATTAGGTTTTTGTAGTTTTCACAGATATTGAGCCGGGACTGGGCCACTTGCATTGTGCCTTCTAGAAATGATTTCCAAACTGGATACATGCTTCTACAAACAAATAAACATACATACATTAAAAGACTGTGAGAAGGGGGAAAAGGGAGACAGTATCATTTTTTTACTGCTAATAATTTTTTACTGCTACTAATCATTCATATAACATAAATGTATGCACTGCTTTAAAGAGTAGGACATGTTCTCTCTATTGAAGAGTTCATTGTTCCAAATGCTACAAACTCAATACCACCATAAAATCTATGGTCAAACACTTGACTGTGGTATCTGAAAACTGAACTGGGTTAGTACCGAAGATTCAGGTATTTACATATGATGATTAAACACTCTGCTTCATCCTTAAATTTCAATTTTTTTAAAAAAAACTAGTAGCTGATTCTCAAAAGTTAGATTTGTATAAAACTGAAGAACTAGATTCCTTTCTGTTGATATGCAAAGTAAATAACTTTTAGGTCTGTCAATTAATCACAATTAATTCATGTGATTAATCACAGTTAAAAATAGAACACTGTTACCAATTACAATTGATTAAATATTTTGAATGTTTTTCTACATTTTCAAATATATTGATTTCTATTACAACACAGAAAACCAAGGGTACAGTGCTCACTGTATATTGTGATTACAAATACTTACATTGTAAAAATGAGACACAAACCCCCCCATATTTTTCAAGTTACTTCATACAACTACTTTAATGTAATCTCTATTGGGAAAGAATCAGAGAGGTAGCTGTGTTTGTCTGAATCTGCTACAACAGCGAGAAGTCCTGTGGCACCTTAGCGTATGTCTACGCTACAGTGTTATTTTGAAATAGCTATTTTGAAATAATGCGTCTACACACAAAATGCATTTTGAAATAGCATTTTGCTGTTTCTAAATAGCACGTCTACACTGAGTGGACTCTGAATCGCATTTAAGGCTTGCTGGACCAGTTTCGGCAGGGCACCAGGTCAGGACTTACTGCGTGGGGTTGCTGCCTGAGGCTATCTGAGGTCTGTGCTTAAAGGGATCCGCCCGATAGCCAGTTCTCAGGTTTCCCTGCTTGCTTGTCCACCTCGATGAGGGACAGCAAAGCATTTTGTCTCTGCATGCTCTGGTTGCCCTCACACCACAGCACTCTGCAACATGGAGCCAGAGCTGCCCCTGGACACTGGTGATTCTCTTGGACACATTGCTCTGAGCCTGGTTGCACTTTCTGCAGGCTGCCATCCGGGAGGTCCATTGGGGGGCTGTCAGTATCCAGGAGGCTCTGCGGGAGAGCTTCCACCCTGAGGAGCACTAAGAGCCTCCCTGGGCTGCCCCACTGGGGGCTTGTGCCTCATTCCTCCTTCACGTCCTTCCACGTACTCCTTCCTAATTCCCCTTCCTGAAGTCTAATAAAATAGACTTATTTTCATGAACACAAACTCTTTTTATTTAACAAAACTGGGGGGGAGGGATGAAACTCTAGTGAGACTGGGGAAAGGAGGCGGGAGAGGGGAGAAAAGAGGGTGAGAGGGGAGGGGGAAATCTGGGAGGAGGGAGCTGGAAGCGGGAAGCAAGGGCAAGGGAAAGCTCAGCGTCTCACCAGACCAACTTGATTTTCATGTGAACCTGTTCCTGGGTTCGCATGTGGCCTTTGGTGGCCAGGCTGGCAGCTATCCTGCCATAGACGGCCACATTTCTCCATCTAGTGCAGAGATCATGGATGTTGGGGGCATCCCCCCCAAAGCTGAATAAGGTCCATGATCTCATCTCCAGCCCCTGTCAGGCTCCTGGGAGCTGGCAGACTGCTCCTGGGGAGCAGTGGAGGGCTGGCTGCAAGTGGCTTGCTGGCTCATGTTTTGGGGCTACTGGGTCAGGGGCAGTGACTGCTGGCTCTGGGCTGGCAGGCTTGGACCTGGCACAAGCACTGTGGCCAGCGTCAACCCCTTTAAGGGCTCCGGGGAGTGGGGAGGGAGAGGAGTGTTGTTAGTTTAGGCTCATGTGGCCACCAGGGAACCCTGGGAAGGCTGGAGGCCCCCTATTTCGAAAGTGGTGTTATTCCTCGCAGAATGAGGTTTACCAAATTTGAAATAAGCACTCTACTATTTCGAATTTATTTCAAAATAGCGGGTTGGCTGTGTAGACACTAGGAAAGTTCTTTCGAAATAAGGGTTATTCTTTTGAAATAACTTTGCTGTGTAGACATGAGCTTATAGACTAACAGATTTATTGGAGCATAAGCTTTCATGGGATTAAACAAAGGATTAAACAAAAACTGTGAATGGCTAGCCAATTACAAAAGCAATTTCTCCTCTCTTGGTGTTCACACCTCCACATCATCTGCCAAAATTGACCCTCGTCCTCCCTGACCAAATTTACTTCATTATCTCTAGCCTTACTCTTGATTGGAACTCTTTTCTTATGCTTGTATATTTATTCCTGCCTCTAGAATTTCCACTACATCCATCTGACGAAGTGGGTCTTTGCCCATGAAAGATTATGCTCCAATAAATCTGTTAGTCTATAAAGGTGCCATAGGACATCTCACTGTTCTATCGCGAAAGTGTAACTTAGAAATGTAGATTTTTTTTTGTTACATAATTGCACTCAAAAACAATGTAAAATTTTAGAGCCTGTAAGTCCATTCAGTCCTAATTCTTGTTCAGGCAATCACTAAGACTAATAATTTTGTTTACATTTACAGAGATAATGCTGCCTGCTTCTTATTTACAAAGGTATCTGAAAGTGAGAATAGCCATTCACATGGCACTTTTGTAGCTGATGTTGCAATGTATTTACTTGCCAGATATGCTAAACATCTATATGCTACTTCATGCTTTGGCCACCATTCAGATGATATGCTTCCATGCTGATAATGCTTGTTAAAAATAATGCATTAATTAAATGTGAATTAACTCCTTAGGGGAGAAGTGAAGGTCTCCTCCTCTGTTTTAACTACCTTCTCCCGCATACTTCATGTTATAGCAGTCTTGGATGATGATTCAGCACATGTTCATTTTAAGAACACTTTCGCTGTAGATTTGAGAAAACGCAAAGAAGGTACCAATGTGAGATTTCTAAAAATAGCTATAGTACTCAACCCAAGGTTCAAAAACCTAAAGTGCTGTCCAAAATCTGAGAGAAGAGAGATGAGGATTATGCTTTCAGAAGTCTTAAAAGAGCCATATTCCAATGCAAAAACTACAGAATGCGAAGCATGTCGACCTACTCTGCTTTGGACCATTATCAAACAGAACCCATTATTAGCATGGACACATGTTCTCTGGAATCATGGTTGAAACAGAGACACATGAATTTTTAGTACATCTGGCACAAATATTTTGCAACATAAGCTACGATAGTGTTATGAAAATTCCTGTTTTAGGTGACGTTGTGAACAAGCAGCAGGCAGCATTATCTCCTGCAAATAGTAAAGCAAACTTGTTTGTTTGAGAGAATGCCTGAACAAGAAGCAGAACTGAGTGGACATGTAGGCTAAAATTTTTTTGTACATAATTCTACTTTCCTAACTTCAATTTTCATGATAAAGAGATTATACTACAGTATTTTTTACTAAGTAAAATGAAAAATACTATTTCTTTTGTTTTTGTTTTTACAGTGCAAGTATTTGTAATAAAAATAAAAATTAAGTGAGCACTGTACACTTTGTGTTCTGTGTTGTAACTGAAATCAGTACATTTGAAAATATACAAAATATCCCAATATACTTAATAAATGGTATTTTATAATTGTTTAACAGTGCAATTAATCACAATTAATTTTTATTGGCTTGACAGCATTAAAATTATAATGGAATTTTATTAACATTAAAACTTTTTCCTCCTTTCCCTGTTTTAGGATTCCAGTTCATTACTATTAATTGAATCTGCTGTTGTAAGTAAAGGGACCTCTGAAAAACTCTCTCGAAAGTTAAAAGATGCTACATTGAAAAATCATATTTCTGTCAGCAAATTAGATGTGATGGGCAACCACTTGTTGTCAAGTATGTTGCCAGCACTTGACATTATCCTGATTTCAGACAATCTACAATCATACAAACAAGTAGAGAGACAAGGAAGGTAAGGTAATATTGGTTCATTGGACTAACTTCTGTTGGGGGGGGAGGGTGTGTGAGAGAGAGACAGACTTTCCAGATTACACAGATCTGTCTTCAGGTATGCACCAGGAAAATATGCTCAGTGTCACAGCAAAATAAAAGACAGAACATATAGTATAGCATAAATAGCACACATTTCAAGAGACATTTTAAGATGAATCAGCCTATCAACAGCTCTTCAGTCACAGGGAAAATGAAAGGGTAGAGGGACACAGTAGGGGAGAAAAAGAAAGGGAGGCACTTTTAGTGGATTATAGATTACTGTAATAAACCATAAATCCAATGTGTTTGTTTAGCTCATGGCATGCAGTATCTAGAAAAGTTATCAAATTAAGTTCCCAAACTTATGTTTTAAAAGTGTTGGGCAGCTTTCCCTTGAAGACTGATAGGTCAGATATGAAGTGATCACTTCATGAAAAGGGTGGTTTTTTTTTAATCATTTTCCTGTGTGAGTTCATTTGACAGTGTAGTGTTTGTCTGGTTTCAACCACATAGTCATTATTGGGGCATTTATTCTACTAGATATGATTGCCACATGTCATGTTAGAAACATATAGGACCTTGAATGGTGTACCGTGGGAGGCGCTGATCACTAACAGTGGAGATACATTTCAGGTAGTGCATCAGTTTTCTGGCAGGGTGTGGTGTCACTTTGAGCTGATGTGCCCTGGTCAGTGGGGAGTTTGAGTCTGATGATGAGCTTGGAGAGGACAGGGGATTAATCGAAGGCTAGAAGAGATGGTTCAGGAAAGATTTAATACTGGATAGGGTCCCCACTGAGAAGGCATTGTAGTGTTTGCTGATACCCCACATGGGTTCCAGAGTGGTACAGTAGGTTACAAATGGGTGCGTGCTCAGAGGGGTTTTATTTTTGTGTTGAAGCAAGTTCTCTCAGGGGCATGGGGTGATTTATATTCAATTTACATTGGGTTTGTGGTTTGTTATAACAATCTACAACCCACTAACACCCATCCAAACCCAGGTGTCTTCCTCCCTCCTTCCTTTTCCTGATATGATTGAAGGAGTGAGAACAGGCCACTTCACCTTAAAGGGTCCAGTTAAATAGGTGTAAACTATTTACGCTAAACAAACTCTTTCACCTTGTATTTAGTTACGAAACTGAGCACATTTCCCAGTCCAGCCTTGAAGAACTCTGTGTAAGGCCAAGTCTACAGTACGGACCTATAAATCACTATAACCCCCAACTGACATAGTGAAAGTGACCTAACACCCCTGCAGAGAGAGCTTTTTCCATAAACAAAGCTACTCCCTCTCAAGGATGTGGATTAACTATGCCAATGGTTGAAGTTCTCCAGTCAGTGTAGTTGCATCTTCACTAAAGTAGTGCAGCTGCGCCTCTGTAGCAATGTATGTGAAGACAAACCCTAAGCTCGAAAGCTTAGGGCTTGTCTCACCAACAGAAGTTGATTCAGTGAAGGATGTTACCTCACCTACCTTGTCTTCTTAATATGCTGGGACTGACAGGACTATAATACCACTACATACAACAAACAGATAGAGGCCGTTCAACAATTTTTCCTGAGTTGCCTGCAATTTCCCCCATCAGCTGGTATAGGCCTCTGTGGCATTTTTTTGGGGAGGTTAAACTGGCAGCTAAGGGGCAGAGCCCCTGAGTGGGCACAACATGGCCACTGCCTCAGTGAATGCTGGGGCAGCAGCTGTGTCAACACCCCCACAATCAAGAAAGGGGATAACTAATGAAGGGGTAGTATTCTGCAGGCTGGAGAGAAAGAGGCTGCCTGGGGCCAGCAAGGGAGGGGACTAATGGTCATTACAAGGGAGGAGCCAAGATATAACAAGGACTGGATGTGCAGAAGAGTGACTTGGGCAGTGTGTATGTATGGTGGTGGGGAGTAAGGGATCAGGTGCACAGGGCAAGCAGGGAGAATATGGGCAGAATGAGAAGCAGAAGCTCAAGGAAGCCAAAGCCTGCATGCTTGTGTACACAATTTGTACGCACTGAGAGATGAAAATTCAACTTGTAACTGTCTCTCACTTTGGACAGGAATATTTCAAAAAACAGAATGCAAACCAAAAATACTATATATCCCTTTAAAAAAAAAAGAGCTCATGATTTTAGATCAAGTGCATGCATTTTCAGATTCTGGCATGACTTTTGACCTTTTGAGGCTAAAAATACTGAGACTGATATAAACCACCACTGCAACCCATTTTCAGCACTTGATTTACCGTTGATGGTATTTTCATTAGTCAATTTAATTGTTTCCTTTATATAGCAGCTTCTTTCATGAAATTTCTTATAACATCAATTTTAAAGGATTTTTGGAATATCCAAGGGATACTATATTCAAAAGGGATGAACTTTTCAGCAACTGAGTTTCTGTTTTGCAGTCCTTCTATGCTTGCTAATAACTTCTGTCACTCTTTTTTCTTTTGCTAAACCACGCTCCCAGATGCTACCTTCTCTAAGATGAACTTCCTCTATTAAATTTGGGTTCCTGTCATTACTCCGTCTTAACTGATGAATAAAAAAAACCTCAAAAACAAAATAATATCCAAACAAGATACTGAATTTGTTCTTATATTTGTGCTGTTTTGTAATCTTGTTTAAATCTGTTTCTCATCAGAACTCTTTAGACTCTCTATATGTTTTATACTTGCCAATTTAAGCTTATTACATAACCTCAAACGAAAAAGCTTTATTTTCATTGGCAATTCTCAAGCAAAATATCATTAATTTCAGCTGCAGATGGAAGGGTTCTTCATTGTTGTGTAGAATAATTACACAAATTGGCAATGTAAGAACAGCTATTTAAAACACCCAAATTGTTAAATTACCTATAATCACTTCGCTCATCTGTTTTTATTCCAGGCCAATCCTTCTTTAAGTATTGACTAGCCAACTTCTGAATGCCCTATAAAAAATAAATAAAAAGACCGTGTTAAAAACAAATAAGAGAATGTACTATAAAAAGGAGTTTCACTATAATAGTCTCGTACATAAGTAAAAAAAATTTACATTTTAACAATACAGCCCAATAATCTATTTTAACTAATACAAAACTAACACAAAACTGCTACTCCTTCCCCAGGTATCTTGTTATAATTTTGCTCTGTACGGAGGTATGTGGATTCACTTTATTTGTTTTTATGGTAATATTATTAGCTTTGTTTTATATATACTATCCTAATCATTTTGTAGACAAACAAAAATTCATTTGAATATTCAACATGGAGAATGTGTGTGACCAAAATAAGTAGCATGAAATATATATTAAGACATTATGGATTAATACAAATATCTACTGTAATTATACATGTAGAAGTTACCCTAACACAATAACAAATTTGTAATAGAAAATATAATAAAAAGTACACTACAATAAATACGTAACTAAACAACCCTCAGCTGATAATCAGATACTGGAAACACATTTAACTAAATTTAGACCTATGAGATACTGGATGCCCTCTACTCTCACTGAAGATAACAGGAGTTGAGGGAGCTCCACTTCTCACAGGATCAAGTCCTAATTTATGGTATTGATTTAGATGCCTATAAACCAGTGGTTCTCAAACTTTTTGGCCAGTGGCCCACCTGGCTCAATGCAAACCTCTGGAAAGAGGGGCATGGAACTAGCTGATGTACCTTCTACACTCTTGGCACCCTGGAAGTGGACACTGGATGGTTCAACTCAGCTAAAAAAAGAAGACAATCTGTGGACGGAGCTCAATGGGGGAATGAGGGAAAGGAAGAGAAGCATTTTGCTGATGCCTCTTTGGGTTGGATGTCCAGTGCAGAAATTTGGTACAGAAGGGACATGGTTATTGGATAAATTGGATTAAAGATTTGAAGGAAAACATTCCTTATGGGAGCTGATGAAGGTGGGTTTGGAATGCCTACATTTTGTCAGAAGGCAGCTAACTCCTGCTTTTACTTGACCTCTTAAGGGATTTGGGGAAGAGGGTTTGTGGCACTAATGTCTACATCGGCTGGGACCCCTCTTCTCTGCACTATGCAGTTTGTTGCTGGGTACACCTAGATATTATAAGTAAATAAAGTGTCAGCCTAATTAAACCACATCCACCGTTTTGTGTCTTTCTTTGAGATGGACAATGTGAGTTCAATACATACTTCTTTTATTTAAAAAAATTAGCAGTTAAAATAAATGTGACATAATAGACCTTTTAGAATATTTCATATAAAAACAGTAGTTATAAGCAAATTTGCTATTATCCAGTAACAAATACAGTAAGTTCAAGATTTTTATGCAAAAGGACACATTCAGCAAATAGTGCAAGATCTTCCTTGTTCTTTTCTCAATGCCATTTGCTGTTTTGCCTCTCAAAAGATCACCAAAACAAAGAATACCATTGTTCAGCTAAAACTGGGAAACCTACTGATTGTTTAACCTTTGGCCTAGTTAGAAGTAGCATGCAGCCTAGGAGTGTGCTCAGTACTTGCTCACAGGCCACACTACACTCTTAATTCAAGAGCTGAAAAGCTAATGTTTAAATGCAGGAAAAACCACTATGTGATGGCATAACTAGATTCTACTCAGAATTCTTTGACTTGTAAATTATGTATCAAACTGTTCATTATTTATCCTTTTTATATAGTTTCACACAGATGGATGGCTCTTCTCTGGACAAATAGAGATTCTCTACAAAGTAGGGTTGCCAGGTGTCCAGTTTTGAACTGGACAGTCCAGTATTTGAGTGTTCTGTTTGGGAAACAAATTGAGAAATTATAAATGAGAAAATATAAATACCTGGTATTTTCTAAATAAGATGTAATGTAAATTGTGATGTAATGTCAAGTGTGTCCGGTATTTTTATTGAAACCATCTGGCAACACTATCTACAATCTGCCGATCAGCTGTTTGTCGGCAGATCGGGGGAGTCTGGACGCGATGCCCCGACAAAGAAGCCTTTCTTCATCGACACAGGTAAGCCTGGTTTCACGAGGCTTACCTGTGTCGATGAAGAAAGGCTTCTTTGTCAAGCCTTTCTTCTTTGTGAAGCCTTTCTTCATCGACACAGGTAAGCCTCGTGAAACCAGGCTTACCTGTGTCGATGAAGAAAGGCTTCTTTGTCGGGGCATCGCGTCCAGACTCCCCC